ATACCTCTTGTGGAGGCGGTTAGTGTTAAGTCGTGGTCTATAATCTGAAATTCAAAAAATACAATAAAACTGATATTTGAATAAGATTGTACAGTACAAGCATGATATAACGACATACCTGTCCCCATTGCATAACCAATAATGAAAACTTTCTGTCCGGAAGGTCAAAATCAAGAGCCAACTGTAAAGAAAGATGACCATGTTAACATATATAAACGTTTTATTGAGTCAAAATATATACTTTGCAGGAGACTTCCCGGGGTGACGGCAGATCCCCGCCGTCCACTGATACTCTTAACTCATTGAGTCCGTCCGCATAGGCCGGCGGAACTAATCGTATGAATTGAGTTAAAGATTTTGCCCAAAGAGGGTAATCAAAGTTATTGCAACTGCCATCAGGTGTCCGATACTTTGCCTGTCGGTCACAAATGGGTATCTTTGGACAGTGGTGTAGTAGTGGAGTGTCCGCCAGACTGTACTTCTGTAAGCCATCTCTGGCTTGCAATGGAGTCAATTCATACCTTACAAATGAAGTAAAATTATGAAACAATTATCAAATTTGAGTCGTTTGCAAACCTTTTGGCAATTTGAAGAGTGGTCTCGAGAGCAACCAAACCATCCAAAGAGATCTTTTGAATCTCGGGGTCGTCCGGTCCGAAGAAGGCCTGATGATAGCTCTCCATTGTATTGTTTCGTTGGAAAAATCCTAATTAGTAGTGAAATTCATTTTATATTCAATTGTATGTTATAATAACAAAATATGTTTTAAATACCGGCGCGAATGAGTTCCCTTTCAATGGACAGCTGGTCTTTAATAATTTTTTTGCTCTCTTCTGCCGACTCAATGAGTATTTTCTGATCGATATCTAAAGGAACTGTCGGTTCTATTGGAATCGGGATTTTAATGGGTACTAAACAATTCAATAATATAATTAGGTTTAATTTGTTTGTAGAATTTATGCTAAATGTCACTTACAGTAGTTCACTACCGGTTCTCTTATGATATCTTTAGGACAACATATTCCTATCAATCCATTTGATTGTTTGCATTGATTTTCAAGATATTGATCAATAGAGTCATATTGACTAAAACAAAAAGCCGGAGACCGACAAAATCCGGTTCTCTTATGATATCTTTAGGACAACATATTCCTATCAATCCATTTGATTGTTTGCATTGATTTTCAAGATATTGATCAATAGAGTCATATTGACTAAAACAAAAAGCCGGAGACCGACAAAAGCCATGAATGCCTTCAATTGTGGTACAGGGAGGGTAGAACTCGGTAACTAATGATTTGGGCTCTGAAATATGAAAAAACAATTAACAAATAAAATAAATTAAATGTTGTCCATTTACTATGATGTGGTATATTTTGATGATATCCATTGTTTCCATTATGATATGAATTCTGTTTACCTGTTAATAGAGATCAAAACTAGAATAGTAGAATAAATCTACATACAACAAATGAATTGTAATATTAATAATCCAGTCTTACAAGGGCCGCGATAGACATAACCATTTTTAAAAAATTGACATGTTTTACGTATGGCAGGTCGTGAATATTGAGGGTAGTCTACAATGATTTAAGTGAAATTGACAATTGAAAAGATAAAATATTATAATAAACTTACAACAAAAGGCAAAGTCGTTTATAATAAGCAATAAGAGCAATGGGAACAATATTTGATGTGAATTAAACATTTTGTTTGAATTTATTAAAAGGTTATAAAACAATTGCCAATTATTGCTCTAAGTTTAGAGTTTAAGTTAACAATGAATAACATTCAAAATATGTGCAAAAATCGTGTAAAAGTTTTTCCTTTTAATCTTTTCGTTTCTCAGTTTTCCTTTGCTGTTTTTGAATATGTTTACCTTTCTTAAGTGTCTTAATATATTATTAATAATACGTTAACAAAATTATTTTTTAGTCCAAGTTTATGTATTGTCAATTATAAAAAATGTTATCAATCACAAAATAATACTTAGCCTTTGATTTAATTGAACAAATTTTAGAAATAATTTGTTTATAAATAATTTTTTAAATAGTTTTAATGGATAAAAATTCTTTGAAATAAGCAAATTATAAAAACCAGATTTCATAGTAGACTATAATTATAGAGACATAACAATTAACGTTTTAATTTGAAGTAATTGTATTGCATAATGTTCAGTAGTAATTACATGATTTCTAATATTTATTTTGAATCCTCGAATAAACCAGATTTCATAATAGACTATAATTATAGAGACATAACAATTAGCGTTTTAATTTGAAGTAATTGTATTGCATAATGTTCAGTAGTAATTACATGATTTCTAATATTTATTTTGAATCCTCGAATTGATATATCATTTATTTAAATAGAAATAATTTACAAATAAATATAAGGGTTGACCTCATAATAGATGTCATATCTCATCACACATGGGATGTGACGACAAACGACATAAAATGAATTATTGAACCAATCATTTGTTAAACTAAACTTGATCTTTATTAAACGGCTTGCTTAACAAATAAATATTACAAATTATTTATTTACAATTAAATACTTTATTTTTTATATAAATTTAAGTTTATTTAAAACATAACAACATATTTAAAATTAATTTATATAATTACAATATTAATTTATTCTTCATAAATATATAATATAAAGATTTGGCTTTTGTTTCACTTAATTTACATTATCTCATATAAAACTAACAAAAGTTATCTAGCAGAAAACTGTATCTGTTGACAAATGTGATTAATATGAGAATGTACACTGGTCCATTTACAAAGAGTTACAATTTTACATTGCATGTTATAAAACATTGCTCTCGATCCAATCCATATATTCAGTTACTCTGAAATATTATTAAAAAATAAAATAATTTTAAAAATTAAATAACTTGAATATTTCGATATAAACAAAACCTGGTGTAAACTCCAGGATAACCAGCCTGTGCGCAACGATTTCCGAAACTCACTATTAGTACATTTAAAATGTATTTTTTAAAATTTAAATTTAATTATGGATTTGCTACTAAGTTAGTACATACCGACACCATAAAGGGTCCATTTCCTATTTGTGTCTGAGACCATAAGTGGACTTCCACTGTCACCCTTCAAATTTTTAATATAAATTAAAATAAGTCATTAAAATATTAAATGTATGTCCATACCTGACAGGCATCTTTACCCCCTTCCACATAACCGGCACACAAAAAGTTTTTGTTGATCGGTTGGAAATATCTTTTATCACATTCATTGTTATCCCAAATAGGAATGGACACCTGCTGTAAAACACCACTTCCCGGACCTCCATAGTGTACAGTTCCCCAACCGATCACCTGAATTATTATTAATTATTAATCATTATGTTATTAATTGTATAAATACTGAGAAAACAGCATACAGTTGCCATATATCCGATTAAATCTTTAGACCTCTCCAAAGAATTTGGTAAACATATGGGGCTTATGGCTGAAGAATAAACGGCTTTTTCCTTCAACCGAATCAAACCGATATCATTGAAGAAACCGTGTCTTTGAAACTTTGAGTGTTGTTTAACATCAGACACTTTAAACTCAATTGGTTTAGAAAAGTCATCGTCTCTGTAGAGATGGTGTTCACCCAATCTTATGGTTATTTGATTGGCGTTATATCTGAAATCATATAGAAATTAGGGTTTGGATGACATAATCAAGTTAATTTCTGATGAGCTTACTTGTTTCCCTTATGATCAGATAGACAATGAGCTGCAGTTAAAATCTAAAAATTAAATACAAATAAATGTTCAAAATGTCAAAACTGTAAAAATGTCAAAATGTAACAGGTGAATTAATATTATAAATTATACAAACATAGTACTCGTTGATGAGGGCTCCCCCGCACCAGAACTCTCTCCCTTTTGCGTTATCGAGAAATATTGCCGCCTATTCATGAAAGTACAGGTTATTAGTGAAAGATAATAAATATTCAATTAAATATAGTTTACAATCCAAGGCCATTGACCAGGTCTGGTGTCAAATCCCCCTACAATACGGGCGTCTCGACCCGATTCCCCACATTCTGCAATAACATATCATATAAGAGATTAAGTGGATTTCAAATAATAACCAATAATTTAAATTATAACACTAAATGATTTATCGAAATAAAAGTATTATAGTTAAACGTTTTGAAAATTTCATTGAAATATAACATGATTTAAAAACTAATACTGATACGTTTTTACATATTTAGAAAACAATTTTGTCTTAAGTTTTTATGATTACTTAGTTTTGAGATCACATTAATTGAGCTTTCAGTAGTGGAGGATGTGTTGGAGACCACAAGTAATGGTTTTAATGGATAATTATTTAATGGCAACTGTTGTGTGGTATGAGAACCCCAGTGAGGTCTGGAAAAGGTTGGTCTTAGTGTTGTGGATGTTGTGGTGATTATTGGTGATACAATTTCCGGTCTTCTGGTAGTATGTGGTGATGAGGATGTGATAAATGGAGAATTGGACGATGAAATGGCTGTAGTGGTAGTGGTTGATGATGTAGTTGCTTGTGTTACCGGAAGTTTAGTGTTGGAAGCCTTTAAATTGTTTTTATGTTAGTTAACTTATTAATTCAAAATTTATATATTAATAAAGTTTCTACAAATAGTGATCAAATAAATACTAACTATGGTTGTGGTGGACACAGAATTAGATGAGATTTCGTTGACTGGACAGCAAACTCCGGGTAACACAAAATTACGGAAACAAACCGATTGTCGTAATAATGATAAATCAAATATAAGGTAAATGCATCGCCGTATGTCCGCACACTGGCCAGGGATTCCCAACGGCGTCCGACAGTAGTTAAGATTAGTGAGCGCTGCAAAGTTTGAAACTATATTTCCAACTGAACTGGAATTGAGTCTGTTTGGCACAAACCCTGATTATATGTGCAAATTAAATAACATTGGTAAGTGCGGGCGTGAAAGTGCATTTAATAATGTTATCCATAAAAGTAAAAATTATTATTTATATTGTACTCACAGCCTCTTTTATATGAAGTATTTCTGTCGACCGCTTTTGTACATAAGAATAATATCCACATAACGGCAACACTTCTGTGCCATTCTTTCATTATCTTTGAAATATTATTCAAATCGATATTTTAATAAATTTATTAAAACCAAAATTATTAGACTTTCAAAACATACCATGACTCGAGTTAGTGTAAGGGAATCACTTTTTGTTATATTCAAATAATTTATTGATAAATTTTTAAGAAAACTTTTAGCACTTTCATTACATTCAAAAGTTGTGTAAATTTAGTCAACAAAACATTTTTAAATAAACCATTTGCTTATCATTACACTTAAACGATGTAAAGAAAGATTGCATTTGTGGTGAAAATATTGAATAAATATGATTACAGAATTGCTTGGTCTGAAAAAATTTCCAAAAAACTTTTTTTCGGGAATACTGTCTCAATGACCTGAATATTGCATGCATTCTCCTTATGTTGAGGCGACCTACAAAAAGTTTACATTAGGTTCAGGTGCTGATTGTCATGAATGCTGTAACTTTAGGGATGCGTTCCTCGCGGAGATCTACCACTCCTTAAGCCATTGGTGTTCGCCAGTGAGTGAAATTTGACTCAATACAAGCATTTATTCAGTATTCAGTGTTTGGTGTTTACAAAATATCGTATAAAATATTAATTGTTATGTTTTCTGCAACACATAGAGTCAAGTGTTTGACCTTAAGATATGTTTTGTTAAGAAGTCATTTGTATTGTACAAATGAAACGCTTGGATACAACTGTAATAATGTATTTCCACGTTATTGCAACTTTTTCTTTGATCATTTCTATAGTAATCGTCTCCTTAAGCGTCTGTTTCTTTGCACTTGTCTTCGGTCTGATTCACGAAAAGTTGGGATTCAAGTAATGCCTATACTTTTGGATTTTCCAAATGGTTTTAAATTTAGTCCATATGTCGGAGAAATTTTCAGTGCACTATTGCTTATGTAAATGCAATGTAATGCAAGTGAATTAACCAAAAATAAAAATAATTGAAAACTTGTTTTGTTTGCTAACAAAATGAATTTTCGTTTCATTCCTATTGCTCTTTACAAATGAAATGTCTTTTCAGATGTTTTTAGTCTTACTGTAGTATATTATAGACAAGGAAATGTCATTACAGTACTATATAATTATAAAAGTCATTCAAAATATTTTACTCTGAAATAAATTTATAATACAAGTAAAATTAAGATATTTTTCATTATTTCATTTAAGTATAAAAATTAAAAATATAAATTAGATTCTAATAATATACTGTACTTATAATTATAATAATATAACCTCACTTTAAGTTATTCGCTATTAAGTTATATTATTCATAGTATTATTGAATAACTTGGCACTAATAAATTATTAGTAATAATCAATATAATAATTGCTAACACGTGAGTAAAATTGAATAATAGGATATTGAATAATTAAATGTTTATTAATTGAATTTAATATTTCATTGGATTTATTATATTATAAGTAATAAGTTACATTTGTGATTTAATAAAAAATTAGATTAGTATTTATTGACAAAATAGTGAATATTAATTACAATTAACATTTATATNAATTTGTACCAAATTTTCTATATTCAAATGATTAACTTATTTATAATATAAATAAAATGATATAAATGATGAGTTTCTTTGGTATTTAGTTTTATAAAACTTATTCGTCTGCAAAGAATAATGGCTTAATTTCCGAGAGTTACAAAGAACCTTTAATATTTACTGTATGATATAGTGAATAAGATGTTTGATTAATAAATAAATGACTAAAAATGATGTATTTTATATGGCATTGACTATTGATTGTTGACACTTATTATCTGATTAATCCAACCAACAAATGCTGAAACTTTGACATACACTCCGGGAACTCCACTTCTCCCGCATCCAAAGCCTTATAATTTTGAAATTGTATTATAATTAAAGTATGCTTACAATTAATAGACAAATGCATATTTGAGAGGACATACCCCACGAGACTAGACCCGTAAGTTCGTAATAACCATCAGTTTCGCATACAAGTCCTGAGCCGCCATCGCCCTGACAGGCGTCGTTACCCTCATCACCGCCCGCACAGAAACTACTGGCCGGGAGTATGAATAACTTTTCAGTCACTGAATTCACTCTAACTGTGCACTCCTGGTCATCAACAACTGGTACGTCAGCTTCACGTACTCTCAGTGCTATGGGTCCGGCTGTGCGTCCAATGAATCGCAACAATCAATTAAAATGCTATTCAAATGAAGTGTGCGCTCACGTACTCTCATCCTTATATCCATATCCAGTAACAGTGCATCTCTTTCCGGGCTTTCTCTTGGATCCCCGGGCGGGCAGACACACCAAACACACCGCTTCGTTCACTTCGACTGGTGATTGGAGTTTCAGTAAAGCGATGTCTGTTTAATCACACTTTTAGATTAGCCCATTATTTCAAACCAATCATTTGCAATACCATTATCTAATGTCTGTCCATTATGGTTGTGATGAATAATTCATCACGAGTGAAAAACTCAGACACGAGGAGATGAAGGGTGAACTGAGCAGTCTAGTATCAGCGGTTGAGAGTGCATTTATCAAAGAGGTAAAGATTGATTTGATATCAAATATAGGTTAATTTTAAATTACATAAAATTTCATGCAAAGTCATTTCAATACTTTGTAATACAATGGGCAGCAGTCAGAACCCATTGAGATGAGATAAGAGCCCCAGCACACAAATACTGGTTCTGGGCATTGATCAGAGCCGCCTAATTATCAATTAAAGTTAAAATTACTTTCAAATTGTGACTGCATATCAATAGAAATACAATATTAAATGAATGACATACCTGCCAACACCATTCTCCCGGGAAAGAGTCGCTCCCACCCACCACTCGTGGGGTTTCTTTACGTTGAGTCCCTTTAATACCACACATATATGGATTGGGTCTTCTTGGAGGAGGTGCTAAAATTGGTTCCCATGTAAGAGATTAACATTTTAGTTGCATAACTACGGTATTTATTGAAACAAACGTTTTATGGGAGAGTCGTCATAGTTAACAGTTTTATTGGGGTTTATCTTCCAGACACCATTATTTGCCAATACATTCGCTTCAAATGCTTGGATGTCAGTCATGGGTGCACAGCATATCTGTCCCCCTTTGGCGCACTGGAATTTCGGGTAAATAGCATTTCCGCCAAAACATGTGAATCTGAAGGCAATGTACAAATATAATTAAATATTCAAAACTTAACACAATATGGTGTTCACTGATCACTGATCACTGAATTTACCTAAACATGGGCGCAATACAAGGTCCCGGGCAGAAGGGAGGCCCTCCCACTCCAATTGCAATGGATTTATTATCAGTAGAGCTATCATCAATCGGTTGATCCAACTCTGGTTCTGGTAGTGATGGTGGCACTGGAGATGGATGTGGCGCCGGAAGGATATCTCGATTGGGAATCGACTGCGGATTGAGTGGAATGTTTGGAAGGGAAGGGTTTTGGTGAGGAATCATTGGAAGGGGTGGCAAATGATTGAAATTAGGTCTTTGAATGGGCACCTCTTGAGCATGAATAGGAGGCCATAGATTTTCATGAGGGAATGGAATTGGATTATAATTTTGAGGCATTGGATTATTTGGTGGTGGGATTGAAAGCTGAGGAGGAATATTAGCTTTTGGTGGACTTGTTTCGTCGATATTCATGTCTTTGACAATGTCCTCATTATTTTCTTGTGGGTTATGACAACAAATGGATCCAGACGTGCAGTCAATAGTCTTGAGTATTAGTTCTGAGGGTCTGTTACACATGCCACTCAATATGGTTGGGATACAGTTTCCCGGACAGGGTTTCAGTGGAGGGGCTTCTGTGGTGGGGTCTCTGTTGACACAACAACTGCCACCGTTTGGACAGTAAAGACTATAATCGGTTTCATCGCATAAAAGACTAAAAAGTGGTGCCACACAAGTGCCCTCACATAAAGGCATGGGAGTGGTGGCCACAACATCTTTACCATGACTTGTGCTCACAGTCACAGACATATCGTTTACTTTTGTCTCATCTTTAGAATTGTTTAGTGAATCGCTTTGCTGTACAACTGTCACAATATTTGAGGAATTTTCTAAATCAACCTCAGATTGAAGGCAACACTGATAGCCTTCACCCAAACACTTGCCGTTACTTAAAATATTACTACAGAAGCGAATATATCTCATTTGAATACAGACTCCCGGACACGACTCAGC